AGAGAAATTTGAAGTCATACAGTTCCTCCAAGATTTCTTCATATAGACGTAGCTCTTCTGTAGAGATTTACTCACACAGAATAAAATTATTTCTCCAGTGGACTAGGTTGTTTTGTAGAATGCGTTTTTAAAGTACTTTAAAATTAGGTTTTGGTTATCTATTTTTTCTTCGTGTTTACTATGATACTCTGGTATTCCTGCATATTGATACAACTTTTAAAGATTAGATACTTTTTTTAATCTCATACGTAATTTCCCCTGACATGCAGGTCCCTTGGAATTGGTGGAAGCTTTAGAGCATGGAGGGTGTCCCACAACAGGATGTAAAGGAATTGGGCACATTAAAAGAGCAAGACATATCGGCCATCATAGGTATGTGGTATGAAACTGTAATTTTATTCTTTCAGTTGAGTGATGTGTGCACATGGGTTTTTTTAATTGTTGTTCGCAAGACATCAGATCCAACCTGGAAAAAAATAGGAAATCTTGTAAAGCTAAATATGCAATAATTTCAGTTGCCATGGCGAGCATGCTGAAATAAACATTAGCAGTCTGTAACTTCATTTCACCAGGGTGTGCTGAGATAAGATTTGTCGAACATCATTTTTTGTCACAATTGGTAGATTCAGTTACTCTGTATTTTGTTCCTGTGAGGATTCCTCAGCTTGCTGTTCAGATTGCAAAATGTTACAGACAGATATGTATAAAGCAATAACTTTTGAACCTTTTGAAATATGAGGCCACTAATTTTTTTATGGCTTGGATGTTTTTGTTCTGCTTGGTTGATAGGGGTGAGGATTTGCTTGTTGGCTTGGAAGAATGCTAAAAAGGAAATTTGGATTGGCGTATTCCCAAATGACAGCCTGAACAACTGGCTGTTTGTACCTAGGGTTTCTAAAGATGCTTTTGTTGAATGCCTTCTGAAGTACAATACAGAAATGTGGACATCCCAAGCTGTCCTAGAGGAGAGTTGGCATAGGAAGAGTAGTAGCATGGGAGAATGGAATGGGGGACAAAGAGACAATGACAGGGTAAATGGGAAACACTTACTAAGTCAAGATTTTATTATTTTTAAAATATTTTCAGTATGAGGTGAATCTTGAAAATTTCAGTAAGGGATCTACAGTTAATGTAACATGTTAAGTTGAGAATTAAGTATCATAAATATCATAGAATCATAGAATCATTATGATTGGAAGAGATCTCAAAGATCATCAAGTCCAACCGTATACCCAATAATCACCCTATTACCTTTTTGCAAATTAGAGCTTCCAGAAGTTTTCTTGGAATTTTTCCATTACACAACCATACTGTCCTTGAATATCATATCACTTTCTGCTTTCTGCTCTCATTTGGTTAGAGGATTGCTCTTTGGTTATTTGTCTATTCATGTTTTTTAAGTATATTATTAAACTACCATGATCCAAGAGTTAGCTGTGCAATCTTTTCATGTTTTTGGTGAGAGAATTATGTCCTGTTGACTAGAACTATGCTACGAGGTTTTGATGGCGTATCAGCACTGGCTGAAGTCCTGACTCATCGCTAACAAAGATACTTGCCAGCAAAACCCACTGTGGTGTTACATGTTTAGTGTGCAAAAGACATCTTTTGCTGCAAGAAGTTCTTTCCTACCTACAGCAGAGGCGTTGTGTTTGTAGTGTTAGGAGGCACAAGAACTCCTGATGCTGATACACACTTTATCTCCAGGAAGGGACGTGGCTAGGTTAGCTCCAGTGACAAAACCTGTTGCGGTATGAACTGCGGTGGTGGTGTTGTGATACAGTATGCCGCATTCCTGTCTTTCAGATTATTTTCGCACTTTTCCTTTTGTCTTTTTCTGTCTGTGTTCTTTTTCTGTGTTTTGGGGGTTTTTTCTTCGTTTTTTCTACTTTCCCTTTCGAGAAACTTTGTTGCATTCAATCAGTAGGATAACTCCTTAGACAGTCAAGTTAGTACTTAAGAGGTTACCATCCTTCAGTTAGCGTATGGTAACTTACTGCATTCATGTTCTTTGTCCACTGCAAATGTGAAGTAAACTAGATTTGTCTAAACAGCTTCCTGGCTGCTTAGCTGAAACCCATTTTATTTCATATTCCAGTAGACTAAGTCTTGTATGATGTATTGATGCACCTGATCTGTAAGGCAATAAATTCCAATTCCTTACCATGTGCTATCTAAATAATTTAGAATCAGGTGAACATACCCATTCTTAGCCCAAGGCTGAAACTTAAAAAAACCCATACAAAACAAACAAACAAACAAAAAAACCTGAAAAACATAAGTGAATGTGTCAGAAGAGTTTTTAATTTATGATCTCTGTAAATAAATGTTCGCACTAAAACTTCCAGTGTTTGACAGGGAAGGGATGAGTACGAGCTGTATGTCTAGTTAGTTCAAGCCTTTGCTTTTATAACTAGATTTTCCATGCTATTTAAAGTTGTTATACTTACTCATGCTGAACATTAAGAAAAGAAATAAACTCATGGCAATCTATTGTGTTTTATTTTTACCATGGTCTTAGCAATCCTATTATTTGCCCATTAACTGCTGGTTCTAGGGGATAAAAATATAACCAAAGAGATTTTGTTGATCATAAGACAGATATTTGCTGTCTCATAGCAAATAAATTAACACCATTAAGTATCTTATTCACTAACTACATTGGTTTGCCCTCTGTGCTGATACTGTGTTTTTTTTCTTGAGCATTTCTGAGGAAAATAATGAGATTTGTTATTTATCTGGAGTCTACGGACTTGAGGGTCCAGGTCACCCCAAAAATTCTAACGTTATACCATCACTTTTTCATGAATTAACAAAGACATTTTGAAATTGGTAGAATTATCCATGTCAGGCGACAGTCCCTTGGCTCTTTTATCTTGGCAACCTTGAAATGTATTTAACCATGCTTATCTTTTTTTTTCATGATGAGGTACAACATCTGTCTCCGGCATAAATGCCTGTATGCAGAGAAAGGTGATAATGTTGAGAGCTTGTTTCTTAGGAACCAAATGAAAGCCTCAGTGATTAATTATGTAGTGGCATTAAAGCATTTACTTTTTTGAAAAGTTGATGTTAATAAGGACTTGCTATCTTTCACCAGTTGATCTAGGGTTTTGTGCTGTGCAGTTGAAGCTGAGACGGATGTGCAGGTTGACATCATTATGCAGATCACCTGCACATTTATGAGTGTGAATTGTGTGGTCTCTGTTTAATGCGTGCAATAATTTTCAAGTTCAAGCAGTAATGCAAAGTGGTCAGTTGTAAACAGGTCATTAGTTTTTTGAGTCAACTCTCCATGAATAAAGATTTTTACCAGAAACTTTACGTGCGTTATGTGTAAGTTGAAGTGAACTGAATGTGCCATGGTGGTGGAGGCTGTGTTCTAAGAGAACTGCAGCGCAGAAACGCGGGAAACCTCAGCTCAGCAGGATATCGCATCTATTTGTTCAGTGTCTGTTGAAGTAATTCTCATCTGATTTTGATGCCAGTCTCAAGTTTCTTTTTACCTTTTATGTAAGGTCATTGGCCCCAGCCAAATTGTCATAAGCTACTCTTGAGTCCAATTTAGACTATTGAAGCAGCTTTCTTTTGAAAAAGAATGCTTTGATGATAAACGTACGTTGTAAATTGTGAAGGAGAACATTTGTATTCCAGACTAGTTAAAAATGTTTTCATAAAGTCAGTCAACTGAAGTAAAGACATCATTTAACAAAAATCCAACAGAAAAAATAGAATACATCCCCCAGATGTTGTCAGGACCTTTTTGCTGGAGGTTTCTTGCTGATGACATATCACTACCAGCAGATGCAGTCATCTGGATGTAGGCTGCTCTAGATAAAGTCCAATCCATCAGTTAATCAAGTCTATTTGTTTAACCCATCAAGGAAGATAGTTTGAGCAAATCCGGGTGAATTTTCCTGGAGCTGCCATACAACCTCCCTTGGCAGTGCTTGGCAATAATCCGCACCTGAAAGGCGGTGAGGAGCTGGGGTTGGTAATGTTTCCAACCGGTACAGCTAAACCAGGAGACCTGTCTGTGGCTTCACACAGGTTTGCAAAATATTCCAAGCAGTCATCAAGACTCATAATCTATATTAAAAAATACTTTAGTATTAACATTCTTTTGCCAAACAGAGTACCACCTTACACTTCTTCAGGTTAAGAGAGAATCCTGGCTTACATTCCCTTCTGGTGTAGCTGAGTAATCCAGTTGGACTCTGGGCTTTAGAAACTTTGCATATTACTAGAAGCTAGGAGCATCTCCGGATATCTGAGGAAGACTAAGGTCCATGCCCACTCATTAGTAGTCCAGTTTTATCCTGCTACCCTTGAACTTCAGAGAAAAAACATACATGTGTAACCCTACCTAGAGATAGATCTTGAGAGTGACACAAGAGCAGTTGCAAAATTACCGCAAATGGGGTATACTACCTCAACACTTCTGTACCATCAGACAGTTCTGGAAAAGGGTGATTGTGTAAAACCTCTGTTGACTTGAAAATCCCAGGCCTGTTATCCTGGGAATTATTCAGAATGGTGTACAAGCAGTAGTAGTCAGTGCATTGGGTTTTTCCTTTATTGATCTTTCCTGATTCGATAGAAGCTTATTTAAATGCTCAGTTTTCACTCAGCCTGTGCACGACTCTGGAAACAGTGGCTCCCTTTCCTCAGAAAACTGTGTTCTGGACACGTGTATTGCCAGCCGCTCCGCTGCCGTTTCGGTAGGATGCAGAGTGTGCCGCAGGTAGCTAATTGCTGTGCTATGTTGATCCTTCAGTGTTTAGAGGTGGCTGATTACTCTCCTGAATGGGGGGGGTCAGGTGAATATTTGTTTACTGAAGCCTGCTAAAGCAGCTCAGATGATAACTGAGTATCTTTGTGTTGGACTGGTTTCAAAGCTGTGAAGCAGTGCTGGAGGGTGTACAGCCCTGTCAGATGTATAGCAGAGGTTTCAAATTGTGTATCTGCTCCTGCTTCTGCTGCTTGCTGTTCTCCCTGTGCCTCTGGCAGACCTTGGTACCCCCCAGTCAAGGACATCTGATCATTTTGGAAACTGCCTTCTGAACTTCTGCTGTTTCCAAAATAGTGTGCTAAGGCTAACTGCAAGCTGGAGCAGAAATCCAGTTGACAGAAGAGAGAAAAATCCTAATTTAGCATTTAAGTTATTTAATGCATCAAGACTTCTGAGCCCTTGAGATGATTTGTGTCTAAAACTTAGTCTTGTATAAATCAAATACTTCTGTTATGTAGGAGTAACAAGATTAATTTTTTATTCTTTGTAGTAGACAAGTTAAACTGAACTAAATATTGGAGATGTTGAGATTCAGGAGGATTTACTGGTTGATCTGAAGCCATGTAGTTCATACACAGGTTCATTCATGCCGTGTTTTGTTGGAAGAAAGCTAACAGTGGAAACCATGAGGGTTCTTTTTGCTGCCTCAAGTAATAATAACATCAAAGGACTATAAAGTAGTTTTTAAAAAAATATACAGCAACTGGAATGATTAATTGCAAAGAAAAACTCATCTGAATCTAGTGGGCTAAAGCATCGTTAATATTATAACTAAATTGTTGACTGAAATTGTCATTCAACTTCTGTTTTTCCAGAAAATACTAAAGGAAAACGCAGTGTATAAAGAGACAAGTTCTAATGAAGGGCTGAATTTTGAGGCTTTTTCATGTTTTTTAATGTAGGACATGTTAGAGGTGTTGGTAAACAGAAGACCTGGTGCAGATGAAGTTGTATTGCCAGATTTCATTGTGGTGTAAGGCTTGTTTAATAATGCACAACTGAAGTTAAATACCACATCGGTAGTGTTTAGTGTTTCCTTGAGACAGCCCTCTAACTGCTTAAAAACACTAAGGCTCAAAACACCCCTGTGAGCATAGGCAGCCAAAAGAAGATTACATGCTTTGCCTTACAGCAACGGCAGAACTGAGATTAACCAATATATGCCTGAGTTTCTGATCACTGTATTTCTTCACAGTGGTATGAAGTTGTCACAGCAAGAACTTAAATCCCACTAGCACTGGCTCCTTAAAATCTTTTTCTGCATAGAAGCCTGTGTCTTTCATCCTGTAGTTCATTTGAAAGAGAAAAAAGACATCACTGTGATAGATACAGCAGTATGAAGAACTGAGAATATAAAACAACTTCCCCTCTTTCCTAGTGTTCCTGTTTTCTTCCCCATGTTTCAGTTAATGTTTTTTTGTTCTTTGAAGACATCTGACAGAAGCTAGTCCTAAGGCGGACAAAACCAGTAGGTTGAAAAATAAATGTAAGTAGAGATATATAAATAAATCTAAAATAAAATGCCAAATTCTGCTTAAGAGAAATTAAAAATAAAAGGTGAATGCTCGAAGTTAGTTTTTTATTTGTATATTCAGTTCCATGTGTTTAAAACAATTTCATTAACGAAAAAATACCCTATTTCAAGTATGGTGCTTTATAGTCCAGCCACCCATTTGGCTATATTTTACTCAGCTGTGTAAACTCCTGGTATGAAGGTTCTCATGGCAAAAAAATGCAGTGCCTGTGTCTCAGAAGAGGTGCTGGGAGTACCACCCAGTTCCTCAGAAGGCAGCAAAGATGACTGTTCTGTCCTTCATTAGGTCACCTGGGGATAGGGCTGTATGTCCCTTGCAAACACTGTACAGGCTGTTGTTGAACAACATCTACTTGGAGTGGACTTAAACAGGGATCTCATCTTGATTAGAAAAGCAGAAATTGTGCTCGACTGGCATGTTTTTCCTCCATAATTCAAGTTCAGCACAGCTATACAATGATTTTTATCATTATACAATGATTTTTGTCAAAAAATTGATACTGTCTTGTTTTCAAATGAAGCAACTGAAAAGGTCAGACATGCCGTTGGACTCCTGTCTTGACAACCCCAGCAAGGACTGACTAACTTGGCCTGTGTAGCCTTGACGAATTTCTTCCTTTTATGCTAGTGCTGAGAGAAATGTAAATTTCCATGATTTTTTTGTTTATGTTGGTGAGACCAAAATTAGATCACCAGTATTGGTCCAACCTCGTGATAGGAGTTGATTCATATTCACCTGAATCCAAAGCTTCGTCGGTAAAGGAAAAGGAGAATGTACAGCATATTTTGAATAAAAGGCCTTTTTTTTTTTATACTGTGCTTTGTAAAACAGAACACGATAATGAAAGCTTTTGTTTTTCTATTTATTTTTTGTAATTTGGAGGTGGCAGGGCATATGGCTGGCAAGGTGGACTTGTTTGTATTAGACAGTTCTGTTTGGAAATAGTGCATGTAACAATCAGTGAAACAAAAAAAACCTTGCAGTGGTTTATGGAAAGGCAGGTAGTTACATTCTTGAAAATAAGCAAAGTCACAGGACATGGGTTTTTTACATTTCACCATTATAGAGATCCTTGTAATAATACAGGTGAGTAGGAAAGCATCACTTCAGATTATAGTTATTGTCATAGCTCATGAGCCACAGATAGAGCATCATGTTTAGTACAGCCTCTCCTGTATCTTAAATAGAGATTTGAAAACTTGAGCATGTTGTTATTCACTGTTCTGGCATATGTATATACACCTTTCAGAGCTTAGGATGTTATCTTTGAAGTGTGAGTATGTAGCCTGACTAATCAGCTGAACACTGCAGAGCATTCTTCTAAAGAAGAAATCCTAGTTCAGTCCCATGTGTTTTGTGTTGCTGTTCTTCCTTTTCCTGAGTCTTGTGCAAACACAGGTTTTCTGACTTTGGAAGGTACAAATTATATCAATGCACAGTGTCAAATTCTCTTTCCCTAGCTGGAGTGTAGTGAAATAGGGAGTGTTGAATGATAGCAAAGATTGTAAAAATACCACAGTCTTTTAATGGAATATCACAAAATGGCATTTGCAAAGATGGGGCATTTGGTGCAGTAAGAGGATGTGTGCCATTCCTCATACTGTGCCCTTGCAACACACCTTCGGTGTAGACATTACATAGTTGAAGTACCCTCCTTTGCAGAAAAAAAATATGTGGGAATATGACTTTATTTGGAGAGAGGTGGCTATATTCAAAGGCACCCTGTATTTTATGTATAAAATACCATTAAATGTATGAGAGAGCAGGATAAACATTAAGCAATTTCCCAGAATGTATGCTGTAATATAAATTAGTATAATTTGTGTTATGTAAGTTGCTGTTGAAAGAAAATGCAAAAAACATTCAAGTTGAGGTTTTTAATGGGTGGATTTATTAACATTTTAAAGTATGACTACTTGTTGCATTTTTTTTTCCAGTGTTCTTTATGTTAATTGATTGCATCTGCTTCTAGAAAACTGGTCTCTGATGTAATTTCATTTGAACTGAGTGAAGTCAGTAAAGTGTCTGTGAATAAGGAGGCATTTCTCTTCTTCAACTTCTAGTGCTGTCAGCTGCCCGTATTCAGAGATGAACCTGAACAAAGAAAGCCTCTTGCCTGACCGGTTGAGTGGGGAGATGCCTGCAGCCAGTCCTGTCCCCAGAAACAGAAAAGTGGAAGCAAGTGAAAGATCCACCTCTCCTGTAATCAAGTAATTACGATTGAAGCGATGTCTGTGACTAACTGCAGTACTTTATTTCAGTGTTCTGCAACATAATTCTTAGTTGTGTAACAGCTCAATAGTTTCAGAAAGGCCTGCCTATTTATCTACATTTTCATTTACAGGGAAAAAATGGTTTCATCAGTGCTTATCGAAAAGGTCACTGCGCTGTCAAAGACTGATACTGATTTTACTGTGTATGATTTAACTAGAGTTTGATTTCATCTTCCGTGTAGCTATCTAGGCTACTGAGTGGTTAATTGGAATTTAAAATTGAATGTTTGCCAGTTGGCTTGAATTAAGAAAATTATTTATTTGTGTTTCTTTTGTTTGCTGGGGTGGCCTTATTGACGTGACTATAAATTAAAGTTGTTCTTTGAAGAATAGCCACTATAAATTCTGTCGTTATTGTGGGAGTGGGGAATCAAATTACTGGGAGTGAGTTTTGCAAGAACAATGCTGAAGTCTGTAGCTGAAACTTCTGGCAGGAGCACTGGGAAAAACTGAAGGGATGTAATACCAAGATGATGATTTTCAGGTGATGATTTTCTATCAGAAATTGTGGACACCGTATTCCTGTGCCTGTTTTGGGCTGTGGGGATACATAGAAAATTAAAGAAGGAAAGGAAAAGAAGAGAGACTTTCCATTCTTTTTGAGGGCTACATTAATGTAAATGTGAAGATGTGAATGTTTCTAGTGATGACTGTAATGACCACATATTTTCAATAGATATTATTTTAAATTACACTCTTGGAGACAAGTTTCAGCTTCATGCTTTAAAATCAAAATATTCAGCTGTCAAAGAGTGCTTCCTAGTTCCATTCTTCTTATAAATGCAGGGTTGTAGAAATCTGAAGTGACTTAATTACCCTCTGACAGGTAGCCCGGCTACCGTCCCGGTGAAGCCAGTCACCGTTTGAGCCGTGTTCTCTGTGGCAAGGACTGTGCCAAGTGCCACGTTTTTCATTGTCCCAGTGAAGAGACTGCGTAACTGTTTTAAAGGGTCCCGGCTGCATGCACAGCAGCGTGTCATGGAAGGGAGAGAAGGGACAGGAGGAAAATTATACTTAAAAGTTTTCTTGTGTTACAAATATTTGAAGCGGATAGCTTATTATCGAAAATAACATTAGGCAAATTCTGTTCCTGTTGAATTGCCTGAACATTTTACCTTTGCTTTCATGGGGAAGCAAGTTCTGTATTGTGATCTCTGAAAATCCCAGGTATACGATTTTGTTGATGGTAAGTAAAAAACTTCTGTGTATTTCTTAAAACAAACAAACAAAAACCTTTTATATCTTCAGTTACACTAATGATTTTTTACCCATAGAGAAAATACATTGAACAACAATTCAGCTACTTTCAGTTTTAAACATTTTGTTAATTTGTTTTAAACAGTGACAGAAAATGCCCCAGCCCTGGTCACATAGGTATGAAATCTTCAGCTCACAATCGAACATCTGGGAAAACTGTACCAGAAACAGCTAAGCAGGAAGATGCAGAAAGTAAATCTCCTTGCAAGAAGCCCCTGTTATGTGATGTGAAAGAAAAGAAGGCACCTGGGTAACTATCAGTTCCTTTCAAAGGATGGGGTGTTTTAAAATGCAACTTACCAGGCAATGCAGTACAGTGATTTGTCTGTGGAACTCTCGGAAGCAGTGGGGAAGGAGATGGAAATTCTTAAGCTGTCTTTATACTAGAAATAGGGAGGAAGGGAGTGTCACAATTTATTTAAGAAATAAGACATGTATATCAGAGAGGAGCGGAAAAATACTACAAGACAGAGAAATTATTGGAAGTTGAGATTCTTCTTCCCTGCCTCAGTGTACAAATATGCTGTTGTGTATGTACAAATATGTGCATACATTTAAAAATGAAAAGCAATTCCTTAACTCTCAGGATTTGGAGTATCTTTTTGACAAAAAAATGACGTGAGAGAATTTCCAGGCGTGCACCGGAAAATAATATTTATGGTATTAAAGGCTATCTTTGAAACTAAAAAGATACAATTCAGTGTTTTCGTGGGGATATGTGAGGCAATAGGGTTCCCTACATTTTTAATTAGTTACAGTATCAGTGCATTATTTTATGGGCTATTTTTATAGTGAAACAGATTACACCCTCAAACAAGTGTCATATATTTACGTCGACTTCATTATCATGTGTTCATAATATACGAACTGTAGGTCATAGCAGTAATAGTGTCTTGAGAGAATTTGGAGAGTTAGTAGTATATTCCTCACAGTACAGCTGGTGATTGAAATGTAACTGTTTTATTAAGAATCGTTTAAATCCTCTGAAACTCCTCTGCAAGATTTTTTTTTAAACTTTTTTTTTCAAATTGAGTTAAGCAGATCTGGCAGTGTTTTATGATTTCCCTTCCTTTTTCCCCTAGATTTTTTTTTTTTTCATTTCAGAACTATTATTAATTGTGTCCTTTATTCCAAAAACCTATGCTAAATAAAAATTAAGTTAAATTGTAATGTTTAGCTTTTTGCATCTTTTAAAATTGGTTAGCTTTTCTTTAGAGCATCTTTCCCATCCTTTCAATCAGGTGATATTGTTGAAGTTCTATCGAAAAAGAGTAGGGGCATCAAGCTGTGTTGATATAATTCCCATACCACAAGTAAATAGCATTTACTAGTCATACTCAAGTGAAATTAAACAGCAAAAAAAGACAGACGACAGTTTCATGTGTAGTTTTGAAATAACGTGTGTTAAGTAATGGTTGTCGTTCATCACTTCAACCATAGTTGTAGTAAATTAATCTTTTCTTAGAAATAAGGTTTGACTTTACAGACTGTCTCTTAAAATTAACAAATTTTTTTGCCTTTCATTCTTTAGAGGGTGTTAACTTTATGAAGACCTAAAATAACCAGTATGTGTGCTAGCTGTTCACTGTGTTCGGTCATTTTCATTAAGAGAGAATAGCAGCCTCCTGCCCAGGGCTGAACTACTCAGAGGCTTTGTAGTTTGTATTTGAACTGTTTGAATACACTGATGACTACCTGCATTTTATCATCTAGCTTTCCACATTCTGTATGTATCCAACATAGTCAGAGAGGACTTTTAGTTGAATAAACTTCCTTTGAAAAAGGCATGAAAAATTATGTTAATGACGTTAGGTATATATGAACTGCTAAAGTTATAAAATATTGAGCATCTGGTTATTGCAATACCCAGTGGATCTTTTTAGATGTATTTTCAAAGTACGCATGCATAATTGAAGACATAGATACATATACTTGTGTGCTCTTTAGCTGCTGAGCTCGTAGTATGGATATAATTATGTTTGACTTCAGTACAGTTGTGTATACCTTCATATTCTAGATAGTCTTTTGTTTCATGGAAGTCCTTGATGGAGGAACCAACCACATACGAAGCCAGCCATGAGATTTATTTTGTTGTGTTAAATCTAAGTGGTACTCAGCTAATCTCCAGTTTCACTTACTCTTTTTTTTTTTTTTTTAATCTAGTAAGAGGTATCTGTGCATACAAACAGTTATACTAGAAAATTTTGGTTTGCAAAAGTTTGTATGTAAAAACTGCATTCTCTCCCTCTGGAATGTTCCTGAGATTAAAACTCAAGATAAAAATCACGTCTACAGCATATTCAATTTTAATTTGAAAGTATCTTTATACTATCTTCAGAGTAGCAAAAGAATTTCACTGTAATAGGAATTCCATTCTGGAAATATTTACAGTGAAGGAAGGTGAATGCTCAGGCTTGGGAATCAAATGGTACTACCTCTTAAAAGAAAGTTCAGTTTATCTTCCAGCCCCTTCCCCAAAACCATCAATTCATGATACTATCTTGTATTTAACTAGTGAAGTAAAATTCCTGGATGTATGTAACTATGAAAATTGTCATCAAGAAAACAGGAAGATACGTATTTCCTCACAGGTTTTGGTGATCTCTCTTCCTCATTTACTTTGGCTTTGGAATTAATTGCAATACTTTGTAGAATCTTATATTAGAAGTTTACTGTGTTTGTGGAGGTTAGGAAAGTAATTTAAAAGTACATAAATGCAGGTGATATTTCTGAAGAGGATACTGTGGAGAAGTCCTCTGTGGCACAAGAAGGCATGCCTGCATTCCACTGGCATTGCATGTCGTACCATTATTACTTGTGTCCTACCGTACTACAGAGGCTAGATTTTCTGATTTGTTGTGTTCATTTTGCACCATTAATAGTGTGTTGAATAGTGTGTTTCTGTTGATGTCCATGAACTTGCAGCTCCTAGCTGATTTATTCCCAAATACTTCCTTGTATTTAATAGTATAAATAGTATTTAATATATAAATTGTATATATATTTTATATATATTATATTTTTATATATTAATATATAAATTGTATTTAATAGTCTAAATGTAAACAATTGAATTAAACAGGTCTGCTTCTTCTGTGGGTTTGTGTTTTGAGGTTAGCTAATCTTGATGTCTAACAAGGTGTTAGCTCTAGTTTGGCTTTTTGTCTGTGTTTGGGACATTTGTAAAAGGGTTCTGGTTGACTACTTCTCTGGCAGTAAAGCGTGAGTTCATGTAGTGGTCTTTCTTGTAGTCTTGACTTTAAGGTCATTCTGTCTGGTGCCTGTTTTTAGAGAATGTTCATTATGTACTTAGTGTCTCTGAAAGCGCTGCATCTGTGATGGTTTAGTAAGAATTGGCCACAGTGTTCTCAAGTTCTTAAAAGCAGAAGGAAATAAATACACACATAATGCCAGCAAGTTCATATAAGCTTCATTTCTGTAAGAAACCAGGCTGGAAGTGCCTTCTGAAGGCAGAATTTGAAAAGGAACTTACCAGGGACTGACTTTAAGATGCAAATACACCCGCCCCCCTTTGAGAAGTTCTCTTACTTCCACCTCTCTTGCCCCATTTTTCTCAATAAGGGGAAGGCGTTCCCTCTTTGCAAGTGTTTGGGCTGGCAAAGCTGAGGGAGCAGCCACAGGCAGCAGGCAAAGAGCGGCTCTTCTAGCTGGGTAAGAAGTAACGCAAAAACAGTAACAAAAGAATGTGGCTATTTTCAGTGGGATCATTAACAGCTGCACAGCAGTGTGTCAGTGCAGTACAGGAGCTGGGGTTGGGGTGGAGGTGAAGGTTGGGCAGAGAAAAAGGAGTAGGTGATGTTTCGGACAGCTCCTGTAAATGGCCTGGATAACCACTAAGGCTTTGTTGGAGATGCAGCTATAAATGTGTTCTTCATTCTTCCCATCGTCTGCCATGGATTCATCCACTGCCTTCATTTGTGTATTTTCCAGTTTCAGTTATGAAGTCAAGTGTGTGATATGATTTACGTAATCTTGGTTTACACTACTCTTGAGCCTTCATTGCAAAATTCACATCAGTAGTCATGCCATCCAAGTCAGAAATTAGATCCTCTCTTTTTTTTTAATTTTATGATGATACAACATCCTTTGTGTGGGAATCCTGGTGTGTTAATAGCGTTGTTAGCAAGAGATGTCATCATGCTTAGTATTTTTATGATGTATTAATAAAAAATGAACATCTTATTTTCCTCAGTGGAGTACTACAAATAAAGGACTCCATAAAGAACAAAGAGTGTGAAGAAGAGGAGACAGAAAAGAAGCTGCTCATTTCAAATGAAAGTAAAGGTAAATTGGCAGTACTTCATTTATTTTATATTAAAATCTGCAGAACTAAAGAAGTGTGATGTTCCTTGAAATTCCTCATGAAACTGCATTGCAACTTACTTTCCACATTCACTATTTGTGTCCAAAAATGTCTTGACAGCAACACTTTTAACACTGTGTTTCTTTACTGTGTAATCATCAAAGGCTTTGCCAAGAAATTTATTGCAGTTGTAAAGGTGACTGCAAAGTGAATATTGGTATAGATAAAGTTTCATTTCAAGAATATTTTTTCTGCTGACTTTTAAAAACAGGTAATTAAGCCAGTCTGAGTTGTAAATGTATAATGTTCACTTATTGCTTCAAAAGTGTTCTGAGAGAAAGTTAAAGCATTTACACATTACAGGCGTAATGCAAAGATAAGGTAATTTACTCAACCCAACCTCAGTCTGTGGTGCAGTCTGATATTTTCCAGCAGCCCATATGCAGAATGGGCCCTTTCTTCTTTGTGAGTGTTAGAGAAGGATGGCTAAAATTTTTACTTCACTGAAAAGCTGGAGACAGTCCAGTGGAGGGCCACCAAGATGAAGGACTTGACATATGAAGAAAGGTTGAAGGAATTTGGGAAAGGAAGACTTGGAGGAATCTAGTCACAGTCCTCCAGCAACTAAAAGGTAGTTAGAGAGAAGATGAAGGTACGCTCTCCTCCCGGATGCACAGTGGTGGGAAAAAAGGGAATAGACACAAGTTGCTTCAGGGGAAATTCTGTCTGAATATAAGGAAGAAAGTTCTCACCATGCGAACAATTGGAATAAGCTGCCCAGAAGAGAGGTGGAATAGCTCTTGCTGGAAATACTTAGGACTTGGCTTGACAGGGCCCTGGATAACTGTAGTCTAATGCCCTGCTCTTAACAGAAGGCTGGATCATACAGTCTCCAAAAGTCCCTTTCAACATGGACTTCTCTTTGGTTCAGTGATTCTGTCTGGTCGTGTGTACCGCTGTGTCGAAACTGTTGGCTGTTCACTGATCCATTTGGACAGATTGAGGTAGCTGTTCATTATTCATTTTTATCCTCATTGTTTAGAAAGAATACATCACAAATCCAGAACGTCACAGTCTTACATTTGACAATTATTTTGGATGTGTGAAACTTGGTATGCCAGGCTAGTTGTTGGACTGAGTCAGTGCGTTGTTCCCGTGCAGCTTTTGCTGCAATAACTCTATTAACTCATGCAAGTGCAATGAGAAGCTAAATACCTTCATTTCATAATTTAATTCCTCAAATTTTTAGGTTTTTTTTCTTCAGCAATTTGTTGTGCAGCACGAAATTTGTAAGGCTTTTGTCAAAAGTCTTGAGACATGAGTAACTGTGGTTCTTTTAGGCTACATTTCTCACCTTTTAAGCGAGGTCATCTTTGTAAAACCCAGGAAATTCTCTGAGACTAGTAAAGCATTGCATAAAGATAAAATTAAGGTAGTGTTTTATTTTTAATTATTGACCTCTGATACATTTCTTTCATCTTAAAATATCATTTGTCTGCCACCACTTTTCAGATAGATCTAAGAGGCACTCTGAAGAGTGTGTGAAGTATGAAAGATTCCGTCTCTTACAAGAGCTGTGCACAAGGTGTAAAAAATCCAGGTTGTTACAGTGTTTTGAAACATGATACAGTTCAGAATTGTGGAGAAAATGAAGCATTGAAAGAAGAGTCTCTATAAAGCAGATGAAAGAGAGAGAGGGTTTGGTCATTTGAAGTATTTTGTTTCAGCAGAATAGAAACATACCGTTTTGATGTTGACTTTGCATTATATAACACAATACAAAAGATTTAAAATCAAGTAATTTGGAGCATTTTAAATTGTATGCAATTCTTTTTTATTCTTAGAAAACTGGCCTGATTTTTAAGCATTTTGAGTTTGGCAGAATTGACTATTTGGATAAAGTTTCAACAACAAGCTCTGCTTACTAGGATACATTTCTGTGTGGGGTCTTGCATGATTAGATTTATAAAACTAAACCACTTTCTTACGTTATTGTTTAACAAAGTTACCCTTTTTAACCTCCTTTTTATACACATAATTTTGTGCCATTATTTGTTTAAATGTGCCATAATACTTAATCTTTAGGATGAAAATGGATCATTCAGTTCTTGCTATCATAGTCATGGAATGCTCAGGCTAAAATAATTGCAGTTGTGCAGACTGTGGTCTGCTGGTACCGGTGCTTGTTGTGCTATTTTTTCTGCATGTCACTACATTATTATTCTTCAACCTACTTCTGCCATACTCACTTGACCAGTTCTCTACCAGTGCTTTGTAAAACATGTACTGCTATCTTCCCTTTTTTGCAGAAAGATTATTTGGAGCTAAAGAACTCCACTGAAATCATGGCTCCTTCATACTGCCTTTTATTACGGACACAAATCCTGTGCTTAAAAACCTGACACATGCTAGGAGCTAGAACGTGCAGGAGGGAATGAACAGTGTTAGTGGTCTCTTGTTAATGCCGGAAAGTGTTTGCCACTTACCTTCTTTGAAACGTTAGGTTATATTTTGTTGGCAGGTAACTCACTAAGAAGATAGAGATGAATTAAGGAAGATAAAGTTCAGGGAGAAGAATAACAAGGTGGCACTAAGTATGAAGAAGAATGTGGAGGCAGGTGGGCTGATGCTGAAGGAAAACATCAGCAGAGAGGAACAGCGGTCAGGGTTAGAAGTGTGAACTTACTGCATCTGGCTCTGCTATCTCACGTGGAGCTGGCAAGCAGATTTTGTTTCTTCACTTACGTGGTTCAAGGAGCTCGTTGTGGCTCTGTGATCAAACAGGCTAACTCGTGGCGCACCTCAAGTTACTGTTCTCCTAAATGTCCAAATTGAGACATAAATTGGAGCGCATCAGGTATTTTCTCTGGCCCACAAACACTGGTTGCTTTTCTATGGGAAGCAGGGCTTGCAGTGCGAAGAATACCAGACCATGAAGGTAGGGAGAATTTTTAAATGTCTGGTATTACAGACATAGATTGAAGTCAAAACACTGTGCTTTGCACTGTCTTTTGCAAGAAGTTACCCACACTAAACCTAAAGTTCCTTTTGTCAGGGATGTGGGTATACCTGCTGCAGAGTTGGCAACTTTTTTTTTTTTCTTTTCCTCCATCTAGTCGGATAAATCGGCATTTTACATGGTCCTTTTGTGCTGTTCATCTTACCTCTGAGGCATTTTAAATGTCTGGTATTACAGACATAGATTGAAGTCAAAACACTGTGCTTTGCACTGTCTTTTGCAAGAAGTTACCCACACTAAACCTAAAGTTCCTTTTGTCAGGGATGTGGGTATACCTGCTGCAGAGTTGGCAACTTTTTTTTTTTCTTTTCCTCCATCTAGTTGGGTAAATTGGCATTTTACATGCTCCTTTTGTGCTGTTCATCTTACGTCTGAGGCAGATACGACACAGGTTGAGAAGCAAAGGCATTTTTGCTCACATCCCCAAAGGCGTTAGGCACGGCATTCTTTCCATGTCAGTAAATAGAGCTCTTGAATATGAATAGATGGAGTACAAGGTTTAGCATTATGCAGTGTCACGTTAGTGAACTTATTTTCTGCTAACCTCATTCATGACCTGTGTGTGCTTGAAGTTTTCCCAAAAAACACAGCATGGACAGATGCTCAGCATAGATTTTTCATCTGGAACTGTTGAGATTTGACACAGCTGTAAACTATTGCAAATAGGGATATATGGGATAGATAGGTAACCTTAGCTGTCATTGCTGCTATTCACTATGCATGTACCTGTGTGCTCTTACATGTACGTACATTGGATGAGGCTTTGAGCAACCTGGTCTAGTGGAAGGTGTCCCTGCCCATGGCAAGGGGTTGGAACGAGATGATCTTTAAGGTCCCTTCCAGCCAAACCATTCTATGGTTCTGTGATTCTATGATTAAACATGTGTGAAAACAGAGTGCAATTTGCTTGGAATTTTCTTCACACAGTATTGTCATCTGCTATTTATGTTACAGTATCAATGTATTACCTATTTTGCGAATGGAAAGAAAAAAAATAGCTAAATACTTATATTTTCAACTCTTAAGAGACCGTTTTTAGAAAGAAAAAATTGGAATAAGGATGGGGAGGGGATTCAAGGGAACAATGAGAAGGATACTCTTCGGTAAAATAGGCTTTACATTCAGCATGCTTGCTGCCATACAAGTCTCTTTCCTTTCTCACTGAGATTTTTAGTAGTAGTAGAATCTCTAAGGAACATTTGAAGAACAGTGAAGTATAAACAGACTTTTAAGGAACTCACTTCCAAGAGTAAGAATATAATGCTAAGAAAAAATTAGGGAGTCTATTAAAAAATTTAATCAGTGGGCTGGCAATACTGACTAATTGGCTTCACAGTCAACTTCTGAATAATTGGCATTGATACAAAATGAGGATAAGTCTTGAAAGTAACAAAAACTTAAGCTAGAGGAGCAGAACAACACAAACAAATGTAAACATCCTATATTGGCCACATTATATATTCTAGACCAGTCCCACCATGGTTGCAAATATCTGTAATAGGAATTTGTGCTCTAGTTGTTGGGCACAAATGTATGAAAACTAGAACAGTGAGGATGGGGAGAACTGTGAATAATAGCAACTTCCCAAAAATGGAAATAGAATGGAGCTGTAATAGAAGTGAGCGATCCAAACAAAAATAGCGCAGGGATTTGTGAGTGATTGCATGAAGCCATGTTAGTAAGAAATATTAGGCATAGGTTCTTTGTTGGCTGTTTCGTTCAGAAATGAATTCCAGAGGTTTTCCACAATTTTACTTGGCAATTGGGAAGCATTCAGGCCTGAGTTCGTAGCAGGCATGTTGCTTTTGCACTTGCAGTGGATCTAAATGAACATAGATGTCTTATGCAGTTTGACGAGTCTTTCCTCCTACACACATCTGCAACTGCTGCTGCTCTCCAGACAGCAGTAGCCACAGCAGCATGTGGCTGAAGCCACCCTCCCACCAGTAGATTACCTTTGAGGCAGATGGGATGGGAACTCATTCCTTCCATTATGGATAAATGAGATGAAAGGGAAATGACCTTGTGAAAAAATCCCATAGCAGCACAGAGGAGTTAAATTTTATTTTCCAAATAAAACATTCAGTTAAATTGGGAGCAGGGAGTTTGCAGGCATTTGTGTTTTTTCCGCAGAAGAACTGAAAAACATTTTGTTGTGGATGAGGCATAAATGTTGTGTGGGCTGGAACTTTACAACTGATTCACTTGGAATTTTGAGCAGTGCAGTGCTGCTTTTGGTGAATTTATAACAACTCAGCCCTGGAATTAAGTTAGTTCTTGTAGCACTGTACAACTATTAAATGTGGGTGTGATTTACTGTATCAAAATATTTTAAATTATTTGACCTCTAATGTGGTACGCCAACAGTTGTGTTGGCATAGAATTGTGTTGTGTTGGAAGAGACTTTTTCCATGTAAGAGTAGTTAGGTTTATATAGAGCCGATATAAGCACAGTCATACTAGTGGAAGAACAGTCATGGTACTCCTCTAATCCTGGTGTAAGCAAAACTGCACAGCTTGTGTAGGGAGACCCATATGTATCAATAGAAATGAATGCGCTTTTATTGTGACTGGTCTCCTCACTGACTGAGGGATTTAACGCTTGTTTGTTGCTTCCTGTTGTTGAAGATGTTGAAGAACCCAACACGCAGAGGCTTCTTTCTCAACCAGTTATTGTGTCTTCCAAGTTGCAAATCCCTGGCCTACCGTTGCGATGGGAACAGCAGAGCAAGCTCCTTCCAAGTGTAGCTGGGATTCCGGCCAGTAAAGTTTCTAAGTGGAGTACAGATGAGGTAGGTTTCCCCTGTATCTTCTGTCTCACTGCCACTGCCCTTGAAGTCTTGGTTGATTCAGAGCTTTAGATTAGCCCCATAGATTAACAATAGTACGTTTGTACTCAGAGAATTAAAGTCAGCCAGACCTAATGTTAACTGATCCCCAAAATGTCTATTCAGCTGCCATCCAGCCCTGGAAAGCAGTAAGTATTAATTCATGTATGTATAGATACGGATAAATATGTATGTGTGTGTATATATATATTCACTGGGATTAAAAAGGGAAAGAAAAATGCTAAATGTATGGCCCAGCAGATCAGGTGCTCAAGGTCTACACTAATAACATGCAGCACCCTCACAAACATTCTGGAGGAGCGGTTTGGGGGTCAGCATGGACCAAGGAGCTACTCCTGGTGCATGGTTTGGATGTCGCACATTGTTTTGGATGGTGAGAATATAGTGCAGGGAGGAATGGTATGGATATGGTCAGGCCATAATGCCTGATTTCAAGATTAGAGCCCTGTCACTGTTCAAGTATGTAATAATGCTGGGACAGACATGGTCCAGTCCCTGCTTTACTTTCAGAAGTACCTATGACAAAGGCAGTTTTCTGCAACTGAGACAGTCAGATCTCCTCTAATGAGAGAAAAAAGAAGCATGAACTTTAAAAAAGGATTTGCTAATCTCTGTGCTGGAAAGAATAAAGAAGAGGAAGGCAGCAACCATTTTGGTCTGTGAGAAGTGATTCACCAGAGAAGATTCATGGTTCTGGATCTGCGTGGATAGATTAACCTGAGTAATTTTGAGGGAGTAGCCATATCCCACTCTTAGATGTCCTGTGGACAAGAGTGGCACGTGCTTTTTTAGTTTGCAGATTTTGTGACCTGTCCTTAAACACCCAGCTGGATGACTCCATCCACTTATAGAAGGTAGAACACCTAATATGAAGCTGTAAAAACAATAGCTAAAAATTTTTAATGATTGTAAACCTTTAAGACTCTTTTGAGAAAACACCAATCTTACTAAATCTTTTGTTGTATACTTTGGTTGCAGGTCTCAGAATTTATACGGAGTTTACCAGGATGTGAAGAACATGGCAAGGTGTTTAAAGACGAAGTGAGTGAATTTTATTTCAAAAGACAGAGTACAAAGCTTGGTGGAAAGATTAATTTTATATCATCATTAAAAACGCATATAAAGTAGCAGCATGAAGTGTATGTTTAAAGTCACACGCAAACGTATGGAAGATTAGGTTGCTTTGCAGGTCATGGAGTGGGAAGGAAGAAGATAAAACTAGCTAAGTCTCAGCCAGGTCTCTTGTGCTTCTCTGGCTTTGTTACTGCAATTGAAATTATTTGGAACTAACGGTAGAAGAGGAGGAACTTTGTGATTTACTACTGTTCCGTCTTAATCTGGTTAGAGGAAATTTGTAAGTATGTTGTTTTAGTTCTGCAGGATGTTAATGAGTAAAATAAAGCAGAGCAGTGGTTCAAGATAACCACCTCCTAAAATTGTTTGCATCTTGTCTGATCACACCTGGCTCTTGATGCTCTTCCTCCTGATAGAGCCGGTTTACCAATGTGATTTCAGTGAGGGGGAAGTGAGAAGATCTGAAGGCTTCTGGTGAGGTTCAAAGGTGTGTGTACTCACTTTGTGAGCATGCCAGGCATGCATTTCTGGTATCTGAGTAGATTGTTTCGCCAAAGTAGTCATTAGGAAGTGATAAGGCTTTTAGGTACAACAGGCCTTTGTAAGCTAGACTGGTTTTTTTCTTCTCCGCTCAGATGTTTGTTACTCCTGTTAATGCTTAGTTTCAAGACGGCTGTTTGATCACAAATTGCCAGAGTGAATAGTTCAGGTGTTTATCCCAGCCAGACCACCTGAATGGGCAGAGTCTGATACTGTAATAGCCCAAGTCAGCCAGCTTTTCAAGTGAAGAATAATTGTGGTACCCAGACTTGAGAAGGCACCTCCTGAGCAAAATGCATACAGACGGCCCTGCTAATCTCCTGCGACAAAAGTTTTCAGGCTGTGCTGTAGATTGTAATGACTGTTACAGTTGCATGTCAAAGGACTGGCAGGCTGCATCTCTGGGCATTTTGCCTTGCTTAGATGAGGCATTTTACAGCTGCAGCAGGTAAGCCAACCTAGATCATCCCCTATGACACTTAGGGTGACTCACCAATGAATTTAAGATGAATGAAAGCTGGCGTATTGGTCATCTCAGCAGGTGGGAAGTGCCACAGAGATGAATGAATCCTAAACACTTTCATTCTCAGAGGTGTAAGAAAATTCTTCCCCTCTTTAGGATTTAGCCTCTCAGGCTTTGTCTGTGAGTAGTAAATGAAACCTCTCCCAGTGAGGCCGACTGGCGTGGACTGGCTGGCATCAGTAGGGCTTTCAGTAGGTAGAAGGTGCTGGTTCAAACTTCTGCCGTGGAAGTGAACCCTAATCCTGTTTATATTAAGATGCTGCAAAAAGCTGGGCACCCCCACATTCGCACACTTCTGGTTCTGAGCCCACCCAGTCTGGCTTTGTGCACGACATGAGTAAAAAGTAATTGTGGTGATGCCGTTCTCACGTCAGTGTTCCTTGACTTACAGTGCTGGGGTATACCTCGCAAGCTTCCTTTGCAGCGTATCTGGTTCAGAAAGCTTGTCTTCTAGTCCTACAGAAACTCAATTACACTGTTTTTCAAATTAGTATCTTGAATTTTTTTCAAATTAGCATCTTGAAACCTAAGCAATGCTCCTGATTTAACCACAGTTGGCTTCTAGGCCTAACTATCCTGCTTGTGTTACACTGAAAACTTACTATAGATACCTGAGTGACCTGACATTTACACAAGAAGTGTTGGCCCCATAGAAGCCCTTGGAAGTGAGCGCCTTGTGGTTCTTCATGTTTGGATTTAGCAACCCTGCTGACAGAGCGATTTGCTTACAGGAGAATATTCACTTGTAATGTTTATTAAAATAGCAACACTACAAAGCTGGCAGAAAAAATAATCAGTGTTTTCAAAAGTTGTGTTTGTGTTAAAGAGGCAGTTTTGTGTAGCCTGGCCCCTGTTTACATCTGGGACCAAATTCATTTTAATTTGCTATTTAATGAACAGAAAGGGGTGGCCTGAAGGGGGTTCCAGTTCTATAGCTGGCAGTGAAATCCAGGAGCTTTCTCATGGAGGCTTGCGTAAAAAGAGTAGCTAAGATGTTAAAAAGTGGTACTGTGCTGCACTACAGTTGAATTCTACTTCATTCACCTATTTTACATTTCAATAGCTTTCACTTTATACTGTTAGTATGAAAATAAGAACAGGTTAGCGAAAAATTAGCCAGGCAGTTGTTTTCAAGCAGAAAGAAGATCATCATCCTGTTCTTTTGGACTAGCTGGCCTGTCTAAAAGGTTGAAATCAAAGCTATCCTGAAAGCATTTGAAAGTGTTCATATTCAGCCAGTCCTTTACATTGTCTGAAATTGCTGGGAATTTTCTTTTCATGTTTTCTGAAACATCTATACTGCTGCACTGTCAGACCTATTAATAGCTTTGTGTGTTTTTTCTTTTAAAGCAAATTGATGGAGAAGCATTTCTGCTAATGACCCAATCAGACATAGTCAAAATAATGAGCATTAAACTGGGACCAGCCCTAAAAATCTTTAATTCCATTCTGATGTTCAAAGCTGCAGAGAAAAACTCACACAATGAACTTTGAAGATAATGGAGAATGTGTACGAGCCAGCTTTCTCCACTGGAGCTCATGTTTTATTCAAAGCACAAAGACTCGCTAGAACTGTTGAGTAAGGACTCTCAGAAAGGAAGAAACGTACGTTCAGCACTGGTGGACTATTTATATTCTCCTAGAGCCAGTACACATCTGAATCCTTCTGGGAAGTGTTCAAGCTTTTGAGAAGGTACTGTGTAACAACTGAGTCAGCTAGTCTTATTTACCAAACTAATGGCGCTAATTCTCCATGGATGGTTAGGATCCCTAACTCTCTCTGGACATCAAGAAAACCTTCGTTAATTATTTATGCTGTATTATATAAGGGAACGTTAATATTTTCTAAAAATTCTTGAATTCTACTTCATGTACCCATTTTACTTTTCAGAAGCTTTTACTTCATACTGTCAAAATAAAAACTGATTAGCCAAAAATTAGGCTACAGGTAGCCAGATGAGACTGTTATGGCTAATACATATTTGTGCCATAGTTTAAAAATGAAACACTTAATGTTACATACGTGACACTTTATGCTACAGCATATAACTTTACAGATTATAAAGCTGTCTGTTTGCTTGTAACAAAACAAAACAAACCTTGTTGGGGTTGAAATTATAATGCTTTTTTGATAACTGAATGTTTTTACTTTTGCACGATTACAAAAATGTTATGTGAGTTTTTCCACCAGCATCTTTAATGTATTTTACCAAAAGATCCGTATAGAGAAGGCTGCAACTGAAAAATAAAGTTTGACTTCATAGAAGACTTTTCGTTTATGCTGCACAATAGAGTCCCAGCCTTTGACATGGGAGCCTGCTACAGTCCTTCAGCACTTGAAGGAAAATACGTGTATTTTGAGGTAAGGACATTAGCAAAAAAAAACCCTATTCATTGGTGTCTGCACATGGCAGTCTCCAGTATAGTTACCACAACAGTGAAGAAAAACTGTGCCAAGGCTAGGACTGCTACTCTGGCTTCATATTCAACGTAGGTTTGTTTTCCCAATGGTGGGAGAATTCTTTCACCCACCACTTCCTAGTTGGAAAGTCTGATTTATAAATTAGTAAGGAATGGGGGAAAGACAAAGCACGGAGGAAAAGGATACTTAAATGCATATGGTGCATCGGCACATCCTAGGTGTAAAATGCGTGTGTTTCACTGGGTCATTAGGATGCAGATGCTGGCAGCAGGTACTTAGGTGAGGCAGCCTTCTTTCTTGGAGGATTATTATAATGATTGGTCAGGGAAAGTCGTTGCACTTGGTATATATACACGTAAGATGTAAACCAGATGCACTTTAAATGGGAGAAAGCCTAGCTACCTGGATACTGAGGACTGTTCCAGAATGTTACTTTTGCAAGAAGAGAGAGAAGAGTTAGATCAAGATATTTGGCAGCCCTCTTCTTAGCACTCTGGTGGGCAGTTGCTCAGCCTTTAGAGCTGAGAACAAACAGAGCATTTCCATTGCACAGAGCTGGGAGAATTTTGCATCTTCCCACAGATTTTGCTAGGCTGTTCTTTGGCTGGAGTTCCTTAAGATTTCAAGAACTCTCTGTGCCCCTTCCAGATCATGTAGGTGACTGGTACCTGCCATAATGTGAGGTGAAACAGGGTCAGTATGAAGTAAGTTGCATTGCTCTGTTCATTTCCTTCCATAGCATTGCATAAATAATATTTTTACATTTTGTTCAATATTTGTACATTCAAATTGCACTCTTATTGTACTACAATACAAATAAAACCTGAACTGGAGCTGTCTGTTATGTTTGTGTGTGCCCAGGATTCTCAGATGAACCCAGCTGTTCCCGAGGGTGGTGTGGAGTAATTCCTCACCGTAGCTCGATGCGGTCGTGAGTTTAAAAGAGCAACTTGGCTGTCTGCCCTCTCCCTATACACTTACTCCTAAGGCTCACAGGCCGCTTGCTGTCACAATCAGAATCCCATTTTATGGACCTGGATTTTGTCACTGGCAGCAGCTAGAGTTGCCCATGCAGATCATTAAAATGCCAAATCAGAACTTCTGTTTTCTTTCTTTCTGTCCTTCCAGGTAGTTTATTTTCCCTCACCCTCTGTGTGTCTCTCGTGTGCCAGCTCTGTAGCCTGCAGTGAGAACAAGTGAAGAGATTTGCAGCTCAACAGAGATTACTTGGGGATGTTAGCAGCTCCCTGAATTTTTATATACCTACGTACAAAGTACCATGGTTTAAGAAATGGGTTTGTATTAATACTGTTCACAAGATATAGAATAAACCTTGCTTAAATTATATAAATCTCACTTAAATGATATAGAGCCCAACATTTTATTCATACAGCAATCACTTACAACAGTGAGGACGTGCATAATCCATCACATGTATCCCATGTGATGAGGTAGCAGGGTGTACCCAGCTCTTACAAAAACTACACCCAGCAAATTCACTCGGAAACTAAAAACACTGAGGAGACCTACTGAATCTTTAAAATGGCAGTTGGTATCGTTTCTTATGTTGTGTGGGAGGTAGCCCAGCCATGACACAGGAAAAGGTTGCCCCCTGATTTCCATGGGAGCCACATGAAAAATCCTAAGACTTTAGCAAGATAGTCTGGCTATGAAATGCAGCGATCTCCCCTCATACTGCAGGGTCTCCCACTGTAATCTCTGCATTGGAGTCACGCCTGCACAGCCAAGCTTTAACAAAACTGTGGTCTTCCAAGCTGTGTGTTCGAGTGTTTAAAGAATTGTCGTGACCACAAACGCTGCTTTGCCTACAGAGACATTTTTAGAACTGGTGGGAGATTCATCTCTTTAGTAGAAAGCAGTGTTTTAATAAAAAGCCATTTTGATTTCTAATTAATGCAATGGGTCATGTTTGCTGGCTGCTACTGTCCATCACTAGATGCTTGTCCAAAGCCATGCACTGACAGGCAGTATCCCCTGGGATTTCCAGACATGCAGGAGTGAAGAGGAGCATGTTAGGGAGAAGAGAAGGCTGTGGAAGAAGAGAGGAGAGGGCCTCCTGTCTGTGTGGGCAGACAGGAGAGTCACCATGTGGAGAAGGCCGATTTGTTCTGGGGAACAAATTCAGAAAGAAAAGTGAGGCGTTCTCTGCCCGGTGCCAAAGCTGTGGTTACAGGCGCACATGGCAGAATCCCAGATAAGTCATTCTTGCTACTTTGAGAGCTCATCTCAGAATCTCTTTTTAGCAAATTCAGTATTAATGTTAAAAAGAAAAAAAGACTCTTTCATGCGTGGAGAAAATAGTGAAAACTCATCAACCTGCAAATTAAAAATCAGGCTCACCGTTTTAAAACACAAGAATTATTCTAGTAGGCTTCCAGTGATCTTCAAAACATTATCTGTATTAGCATCTGAAGCAGTAAAGTGCTCACATTAGCTCACAATGTGTTTTTTAAATCCTGGCTGTCAAAATATTATCTGAATATGTCAAATGCTCCATATGGAAAAATAATACATGGCACATACAGTAATCTAGAAAATTTTGCTATCATCTCCAATGCTCTAGAATTTCCATTTAAAATAATGAAAATGCTTAGGTTTTAAATTTTTAACAAAGTAGCCAGTACGATTGAAAAAAAGGACATTATCAAACGCGACTGTTCTACATACACTTTCACCAGAAAGAATGGCGCTGATTTATCTTCACAACAAAGGGATTTATTTTGACAGGATGTCAAATGCTGCTGAGAGGAGTGCTGTGCATGCCATCAGGCAGTGGGATACTCAGGTGCCTCCAGCCCTCTCTTTACCTGGGTGAGCAGGGATGCTGGGCTCCTCACCTCGAAGAGCAGGGACTCCAGGAAGTTCAGCGTCCTGTGGATTCTCTTTGGGCACGGGATATCAAACACATGAAATGCAGCCACCAGCGCTGCCAGGGCCATGATGCAGTTGTCAAGCTGGGCTAGCTCTTCTCTTTCTATGTACAGCGCAAACTCGCATGAATTCACGTTGAAGGGATTTTTTACTTCCAACACTGGTGTCACTGCCTTTACCTAAATTTAAAAAAAGGACATTTCACATGATGCCACAGAATCGCTTTGGTGAACAGGTCGGAGAATTAGGTAAGCCTAGTAACACTGCTTTGAATTTAGCTAGTATTTCTATGAATATTTGCCTTCTACCCAAAAGGGAGGCTAATGTCATCCTTTTCCAGGAGCTAAGCTGAGCCACCAAAAGGCCAGGTGATGCGCCCAGGCAGCTGGTAGAAGGAAGGGAGACCAAGACTGCTGGTGCTCTGTCTCATACCTCCTCGTTCACTGCAGCAAACAGACTGGAATCATCTCCAAAGACATCTGGCAGGAGTAAACATGCAGCAGTCATTTTCATATCTGTCAAAGGCAAGGATTTCTACTAAATTACAACTGAAAACATTCTGGCACGGCAGTATCGTCCTGGAAAAGTAGATTGCAGCCTATGTAATAGTTAACAGCTCAGCAGTGGAACTGTTGTTCAGTCCATTTTGAAGAGCAGTTTGTACCACAGTGAAGGTTTAGGCACCTCAGCTGGCAACGTGCCTTAGTATTCAAATCATTCATGACACTCTGCTACATGATATTACGATTCAATTCCTCTCACAATAAGTAAGTAAGCTTTTGGGTTGCTTCTAGTGGAGTTTGCAAGCTGAGTAGTCCTCTTGCCCCCACCGCCCGTCCCCAAACTCCTCTCTCCCCAGTAAATGGGATGTCTCTGGGGAGTCCCATTGCCAGAGGACTCCACTTTGAAGGCTGTGGTACAAGGTGGTGCTGCAGGACCTCCTGGGACGTGGTACCTGCTGCCCCTCTGGTTCAGCTCTTACTGACTGTTATGTCTTTTTTGCAGGTCAGGCTTCTGGTGTCGTGTGTTTCACTGAACCTATCTTGTCTGGCATTTATTATCTGGGTGTCAGGTCGAGTTATTTGAGAGGAAAAACAGGAAAGTAAAGGCCTTGGGACTTTACTAAGGTATGAGTTAAAATCTTTGTGGGCATATTGTGTAAGAATAGGGGAAATTACTTACGATGTCCGTAGCTTTCTAAGGCCAAAGTTATGAGTAGAAAGTCCATAAAGGCTTTCTGAATTAGGTGGTTCATTGACATTTTTTAGTCCGTCATGAGCTATTGAGTACTTGTAGTTTTAAGTTTAAAGAAAGAAAAACCCAGTATTTTAACCTACTCTGCTTGCTTCTTTAAGAAATGGCCTGGTAATGAAGGGAGTGAAGCTGCTGCAGGAAACACATGCGTCCGTACTGTGTCACCTTTGATTTGACATCCTGGCACTATGCCTGTTTGGTGGAAAACAACAGTCTAAGGAGCATTTCTCACCGAGCTAAGCTCGGGTACAGGCATCAACAGCTGCAGTTTGGGAAGAATTAATGATTCTGAGTAACTGCTTTGAAGGTTTTCTCCCTGCAGAACCACACTCCCCAAACTTCCCAGACCGCAAGAAGTTGAGTGGCAGCAGGTGCTTGCTCCCTCGCAGCCAGCAAACCAAGACGTGGAGGTACGTGGACCTCTTTGCATGGCCGGGGTACCTGCTCACCAGAGGTACCAGTTGTGCATTTACTGCTCCAGTGTGTCCCTGCAGAGACGAGGTACTTGGAACACAGTTAGTGGTAACTACTTCTTTTATTTCCTGGGATGAAGACTTTAACTATAGAAACGGTTCCTCTCTTTCTGAAGGAAATTGTCTCTTTTTTTAATGGGGCTATTTCTTTTTCTAAACCAGAAAATGAGTTTTCTGCATGTATTTTTAGACAATAATAAACGTTCTTTTACATATCTAGAAATACATAATTCTGCTTATCTAGCAATACTTATTTTAAAGCAATTACTAACTTTATCAATGCAGTCTTTTATTCAATAGGAAAAAAAAGTTTCAATACCTGACATCGACTTAATTTTCCTAGTAATTTATTAGCTTTTATTCTTAATGCTTCCCCATCACTATATGTTTTTCAAGCAACTGTGACATTTTTCAAATGTTTTTGCAGTAAAATTGGAGCTGGTTTAGTTACATAAGTAAGAATAATTAGCTACAACAAAACTCAGATATTCAGAGCATAGAAGATTTGTACTGACATTTCAGAATGTCTTCCTCTGTGTGCCGCTTCAGATTTTCTTGCAGCATAATGTTGATTGGATTATTCCTCACCGCATACAAAGATAATATGTTTTCTGAATAAATCTCCAAAATCTCGACTGTTTTCTTATAAATGTCCATGTGTGTGAGAAGCTGAAACTCCCTAAAAAGCTAAAAGAGTAACAAATATTTGATATTATTGCAATCCTCAAAACCAAAACGGAAAACAAGATGATGTGCACACTTTGAAGACAGGATAAAACTAACTCAGTAAAATAAGATTATAAACAGGAGGTGATGGTTTCATTTCTTTTCAAAGCAGGGAAGAAATACATCAAGTAACACCAAAATACTTCAAATAACCCACTGGTGTTGTGTGTGGCGTGTTTAACACAGAACTGGTGAATCTTTCAAAGTGGGGTTACCAGCAAAAATATGAGTTAGATTAAAGAGAACATTGTTCATGGATACTTTACTGGAAACATCCAGTGAAATACATGCCTACGATTGTATCACATCTATAACACAGAATTCAATGTCATTATTAAAAATAACTCTGTTACCTGATAAGGGTATCTTAAGAAAGGAAATAGTCTAAGAATGTCTTTTAAAGGTGCTTTATCACTGATCATCTTCCTCCGTATTTCTATTGTCACATTCATTCTGTTATCCACTTCTTCCCAGTTCCTCTGAGTTTTCATATATTCTTGCTTAAGCCACTTAATATGTACATCCATTGCGCTGCCTTCAAGATGAACAGGTTCTTCCTATCGAGAAATGAAGGACAGAACTGTAACAAATCAGCTAACCTTTTTCTCTGATGTGCCTTGTGTGATCTGAGTGTGGTCAAGCTCTGCAGAAAGTACCTGTCGTGTGGTTTCAGTACCAGCTCTGTGAACTCACCCTCACGTTCTAACAGTTATATTAAGATCTGTTTTCATATAATACTATAGCTATCAGCCAAGTCTCCCAAGCTCAAATTAGGTATTTGAGGATATTCACAAAATTCCTATGCCTGTGTCTGGTTTGCTTCATTGTGGTTATTGGAAATTAGTAGGCAGTTCAAATAATAACTCAGTGTTTAGCAATATTAGCTCTGTATTACCAAGAGAAATAGTATTTTCTTCTTACTCATACAGGTCCTAAAGGCAGGACAACTACCTTTCATGTTTATGCCACTGAAGTATTTACCCTCAAGGAGACCAGCTGAACTAAGAAAACTCTTAAGAGAAAGCATTATTTGAGCAGTTTGACTGATTGTGTTTTCAAAAAGTTATTTTGTACTTGAAGATAGTTAACAATCTTCCTCAAAATTATTCTTATTATCCCTGCTGTAATTCCAAAGCCAGTAATTCCTACGAGGAGGAGTGGCTATCCAAAGCAGCGCATCAGCAGCAGTAGCCTGGGGCTGGTTAGTGTCTCTCAGAGGATGCAGTGAATTTGCTCGTGGAGACAAGGTGAGAGGACATACAGATGCGCTGTTTGTACAGCTGTCACTCTTGGGCTCCATTTACACTGGCTTTGCCCATACGTCTTGTCACCGGTGCAGCTGTGGGTCAGGGCCCGAGGAAGCTGAGACACTTCATCCTGTTCCCCAGAACATTTAAGACACAGAGCTGCGAAGTATACAACATCCAAAACTGCTTCGCAGTGCTCTGTATGTGCAATTACTTTCCAGTTTAATTAACATCCTCTTTTAAATTGTGCATGTGGTATTCAAGAATGGTTGCACAAGGTACACAATTAAAAAACTGTCTCCCTCCTAGTATATATCCCTGGATTCAATAGCCATTGGGATCACAGGAGAACATCAGCCCTGCATGCAGGACAGGTACCTCCCGTGACCCCTGCGGGTACTCACCTGGCCATTGCTAGGCTGCTCTGTTAGCACAGTCTGCACTCTTTCTAATACACAATTTTAGTCTTAATTACAACAGTAATGTTTGTTCGTGACCAGCTTGAGTATGCATTCCTGTCCTCTTCCTCGCTGCACAGGAGCAGAGGTGGTGGGTCAGTGATTTACCCTCCTCCATCTGGCTGAGAAAGGTGCTGGGAAAAAGTATAAAGCAAGGCTGAACGTGTAGTGGTACTTCCCCTGAGTTCTGTCAAGATTTCACTGAACTGGGGTTTGTGGACCCCCAAGGGTTAGGTCTTTATATTTAATAGCCTTCAGTAGATTTTTTCCTTCCATTATTTCTCCCAGTCACTTTTCCAACTCTGATAAAATCATACCTTCCACAACACCCTGTGTTATATTCGGCAGTTTAACTATGCACGGTCAGAAGAAACACATTCTTTGTTTGTTTTCTCCTGCTGCCTCTGCCTTCTAATTATCGTACTGGATTCAAAACCTCCTTGCCACTGTAGTTTTTATAGATATGTCATATTCGGTCCTCAGCCATCTCTCATCCTCAGCTATTTAATCATTCCATGATATGTCATATTCGGTCCTCAGCCATCTCCTTTCCAGCCGAGACCATCCTCAGCTGTTTAATCATTCCACATACAAAAGCTGATCTGTACTTTCAGTTATCCTTGTTATTGTCTTTGCCTTGTTTTTCATCTATCACTATTGAATTTTATCTGCTATTTTTTTGCCATCACTCAGTAGCATGGGGTGCTTCTGCAATTCTTCAGTCTTTGTCTTTAGGGCCCTTAGTAGCATCACCAAATGTGGTCAGCCAATTTCTCCTTTTTCCACATCATTTAGAAATATATTGAACTGCATAAACTAAGCATTAATAACCTTTTGCTCTGTAAAAACCAACTATTTCTGCCTGGCTTTCTTTGTCCTGACTTTTAACTGTTTATCCATGCAGGGACCTTCCTGCTTATCCCCTCAGATTATATCCTCTAAGAGCCTTTGAAAGGTGTGTGGTGAAATCTCTTCTGAAGTTAAAGTAAACTATATCAGCTGGATTTCCCATGTCCTCAGGGTTGTTGCATACTTCAAAGAACTAATGAATTTATGAAGAATTATTTCTGTTTACTGAAACTTGGTTGATTCCTTCCCAATGTATTTGTCTCTTGGGTCTGCATTACAGTTCTTGCCAATTTGACCAGTAAAGACAGCAGATTTCTTGGTCACTATGTTCCCTAGCTCTCTCCTGAATCTCTAGAAACCGGCATGAAATTAGCTACTTCCAATTTTCTAGTATCATGTTTCATGAGAGAAATTGCACAGCACAATTAGGAAATTACCTATTTTATCCTTGGACACATCTGAAAATTTTGCACAAATACTTGGTCCTGGGAATGTGTTACTGCTCATTTCAGTGTATTATTCTGTAACCTCTTTGCTGGCATGCCAATCTGAAATGGATGCCTTCACACTACCTATGAAGAAGAGTCCCAGCAACGTGATCGCCTGAACTCCTCTTCTGAGCATCCTTGCAAAGTCTATCTAGTTTTTGTGGTGAGGCTTTATATTCTGCAAGGCCTCCTGCACCTAGAGAGCGCACCCCGAGCACTCCTTCCCTTAGCAGCATCAGGCCTCCTGCTTCTCATCTGGTTGAAAAAACCTTTATAACCAGTACAGAAAAGGCAGAAAACCACAAAACCAATTCTGTGTGGATCTCTAGCGGATCGCTCACAGTCATCAGAATCCTGTTTTGCTGCCAGCATGTGATCTCTACAAGCTCCCTGCATCGGTGTTTGCTATTTTCTGGTCTCTAATTTATATTGGTTACTGACTGTGATTACCATTTTAGTATTCACACATCCCCAAGTGGGCTGTTCAGCTGTCCCTTGACCTGCCAACTTGCACTATATTGGATGGACTGGCTCTTGCTTCAGCGTTACCATCACACAAAACCAAGGGTTCGGTCATTCTTGTCAGTCTCAAGATGCTCGTGCTTTCTCACACATGCACACACACAAACTTGGACAGTTGATTGGGGTTTTTTTTTTAATTACATTTATGTTTTTTACTCTGGGCAAGAGCTAGTTTGAAGTCTCTGACTCTGAAAGCTCTGTTACTACTGGCTTCTCCTCTGGGTCTGCTTCCAAGCCTCCTGCCCACAGAGCAGGAGCTTCTTCAGCCCCCTGATGTGGAGCACAGCGGCCCTTTTCCAGAGGGGTCCTCACCTTCAGTGCCTTACCCACAGAGGCAGGAAAGCAAACCAAACTCAACTCCATGTGCTGTGACCACAGACAAATGACTGGGGTTGCTTAGAAACAAACACCAAGGAGAACAAGCTGTGACCTTTACTCCAGCTTGTCTCTATCCCCCTTGTCAAGGCAAACACCACCCCAGCTGATGGACTTTCCCTGTAGTCAGCTCTGTCCTTGAGAGCTAGGTTAGCTAATGACATTATTAATTAGTTAAATGAGACCATTTGACATTTTTGTAAGCATAAGTGGCAAGCTTCTGATTGAAAAATGGCAGTGGCATAAGGAAGAATTGCTGTCATACTTACCTACTAGGAAAAAAAAAAGTGATGGAAGGCCAAACTTCGTTGGGTAAATCACCCATTACATATGAGTAACACAAGCAGAAGTCAGTGTTAGAATTGGTTTTCTTGCATGTTCAACCTGCTTAGAGCAATCCCCACCTGTAATCTTTCTATCTTTTTAAGCTGCACTTCTGGGCTGAAGAAAGGTAATTATGAACTTTAAGCTTTTTAACATAGCTTATTTAAACTAGTAGTCTATGTAATATAGATACCCAGCCATAAAACACATCGTAAAACTTCAGTCAAGTAATAGAGCTCCAGAAACGTGCCAAATCTGTGGTAGCACTGTTTAGATACCAATTAATGACAGTTTTCTACTGGCCTTAGTAGCCATTGCCATTTCAGAGATTACTTCTTGTTTATTAAAGTGCAGTGGAAACATAACAAATTAAGTGTATGTACCTTGAGGATGGGCAAAGGTCACTATGATGTAAAACACTTGGGGTGTTGTGAAACAATGCTACATGCAGTGAAAGAGCAAGTGAATACTGAGTTCTTGGGTTGGCATTAGCAACCAAAGTTGCTATGATTTTGGGGGACTCCTTGACTATATACAGTGGGTTTAATACAGTGGCAGGCCTGTGCCTTTTATGTCTAATCACTCCATTTCATTTTGTCTCTGGACAGCTTCATTCCTACTGGGGAATACAAACAATATACTGTAGTATATAGTGCTATGTCAATATAGGTTAGCTGATAATTGGGAGGATAGATTTACTGCATCATTGCATATTTCTAATTCCAGCTGATTTAATGCAAGTGGTGCATATTTATCGGTCAAGAACAGAACAGAGCAATGGGACCTCACTGGTACATTCAGTCGAATGGCAGTGACTGTCCTTAGCAGAACCAGTGTGGAATTAGAGAATAGTGAATTTAGATATTTGTGGATGAGTAGCTGTTTTCAGTCAACCTAGCTGAAAAATCTAAAAAGCAAAAGCGTTCTGATTTATGTTGTTCGTTATTTCGAAGCATAGTTTCATTGAAGTAAAATCTGAAGGTTTTTGATGCCAAACTTTTCTGCTCTATCACTTATTAGATTCTCACATCAAAGAAGGTTTTGCTTTTATTAAAAAAATACAGAATACCATGCTTGCAGCAGAATGCGTTCAGTGTGTAACTTGCTTTATAACTCAATTTACATTATCTTAAGCCCTTCTTCCTATTTTGCAAATTTGCCTTTTTTCTAGTAAAGTGCAGTGAATGAATATTAACTCAGTCACACCTAAATGCAAGATTCACCTAAAATGCTTTCATTTTTTCTTTTTAGTTTTTAGTTTGTGAAGGTAAAAGTGGAAGGTAACTGAGTGGAA